CCAAACAGTTACAAAATCTGGAAGTTTGACCTGAACTGGAAAATCTGGTTGTGGGGTGGAATGGAGTAGTCAGGCTCTTCATCTTGCTCGCATGCAAGGACTGCTATCCTGATGAAATTCTCTTTGTTGGCTTATATTTTTGCCTGAATGCGGAAAGCTCAGTTCTTGTACTGAAGAGAGATTTAGTTTTGCTTTCTGTTCTGGGTGTCATTGGGGAAATACACTTTTCACTGTTTGGGTTACAGGCATCGAAGAATACAACAAATGCTTTCAGTTCAGAGAATTACTTTTCTAATAAGGTTTCAAATTTCTTTAGAGAAAGCTTTTTATGACATGTTGTTTAGATGAGTCATCTGGATCTCAAGCTGTGGAATGCTAACATCTTGATCTTTTACACCCAGCACCACCATTTATTTCCCTAGTATGCGAATAGGCATCAACTTCAAAGCCTAGTTGGCACATGGACATTATGCTAGGCAGTATAACATTGCCCGATTAATCCTTGTCAAGTGCTTTGAAGATGTAACACTCTGTGTAAGTGCTGAGTAGTAATATCTAACACCCAATTCAAAATCTTCACAGTACAGCAAAACGGTTCTCCCATGGACAGGCATGGAAATTCCTCTACTCATGCAATGCAGTACTGTTCCAGTGTGAGCTGCTGCTCCAGCAACAAAACTAATCTTTCACTAAGGCTACATCTACACTAGCACTTTTTTTGGTAAAACTTTTGTCAGCCAAAAAGTGAAAAAACACACACCCCTGACCAACGTAAGTTTCACCAACAAAAGCGCTGGTGTGGACAGGCACCTCTATTGACAGCACCCATTGCCATAGAGTGGCTACACTGGAGACCTTACAGCATCACAGCTGCAGCAGTACAGCTGTGTGGCTATAAGGTCTGTAGTGTAGACATAGCCTTACTGAGTTTTTCTCCCTGAGAATTAATAGTCTTTCCATTTAGGGTGCAGAAGCGCCACAAAAGATTTAGACAATTAGAAGCAGCCCAGCTCTGCGTATAACCTGGTGCCCCAAGAACTGTGTATGTATTGCTGCCTACTCAGAAATTAGACTTCCCTCTGGCTTCCAGGAAACTGCTTTTATAGAGATCCCTTGTAGTGTCCGACGGGGACTTCAGCCCACTGGTGCAGGGACAGGGGAAAATACCTGTGCCTCCCCAATTCAATTCAAGGAGTGTGATGGCCTAGTTCACGCACCTCCACCATAATTACAGAGTTTAGTAACTGAGAACTGACCTAATAGACAGGCCTCTTACAATAGTTTGCAACAACTGCAGAGGTGCAAAATTGCCCCAGACACACCGTTTCAAATTTGCCTTGAGCCCACTCTACAGAGGCAGCACAGAGGTGGCTCTGTACATGTTGTGTGGGCCATTTGTGCTGCTGAGGCTCTTTAGCAGTACTGCCACAAACATGTCACAGGGGATCTCTGAATCTAGTCTTTTATCTCCATCTGTTTCCTCGCTGCAGCCTGTATGCTGCTTAGCAGCAATAATAAAAATATGATCTCTGCCCAGAGATTAACAATGGACATAGAATGAATGTTTAAACATGTACATAATAATTCACCTAGAGACAGGAAAGGGAGATATATTTGCCTAAGCAATATGGTTGTACTATTTATCGTAAGCAGCAGGTGAAAATCTATTTGTGATTGCAGGTGAGTGTTCACCACTTCTATGCAGTCAGAAAAAAATCCTCAAAGATTTTACATTAAAAAAAGCATTTAGAAAAAGAATTCAGGCATATAATTAAATAAAAAGACACATAGCGCCCATCCTGCAAGAGGTGCACCCTATACAAATATGGCCCCTACCCCAAAAGAGCTTACAGTCTTATAAACAAGAAACAAAATTGCATTCAATGAAAAACTATCTCCATAAATTAGAAATAAATGTAGTTTTGTTACTGGTTTCTGTAAACATGCAAATTAAAGAATGTTCATCATACTATTATTGAAGTATTAGATATTAAAATGAGAGGGATATAAAAGTGTCCTGTTGGAAAAGTTACTATATACATTTAAATGTGTGTATCTAAAAGTTCTGAAGTAAAAGTGATTTTTAGATCAGTTCTCACAATTCCCTCTAGCGCATGGCAGCTTCATGTAATCAGCCCTTAATGCCATCACTGGTACAGATTGTACATATTGCCCACACTAGGGCTTGGGAGAATATAATTTTTGGTTTATTAAGGATGTTAGGAAGAACACGTGTATCTAATAGGTTATTTTAAAAAGTACAAGCTGTGTGAAGCTGTTCAAATGTTAGGAAAATTAGCAATAGACTTGGTAGGGCTGCATCAGAAGACAGAGAAGACAGTAAAAAGTACATAAGTCATAGTATCAGATTATCAATTTTATATTTAAGATGGCTATCATCACACAACCAGATGTGACCAACCATATCTAAAGCTTGAAATTATTTAATTTTTAAATAAACTGTAGCAAGTAGTCCATCCTTGTTTTAATATTACTCAAATGTACAATTAAATGTACATAAGTTTGGATTTGATGTTGTACAATTGTTGTACATTTGTACAATAGATTATTCATCTTCTGCTAGTCTTGCCTCTGCAGCTGAGCCAATACACAAAAGTTTGTTGAAGGGGGATCTACATAAACCCAATTTCCATTCCCCCATGCTGTTATACTTCCACTTGTTAAGCACCTGTACAGTGGTGTGGCTTAACATTACATAGGGGAGAGGGCCCCAGCATAGAACTCTCTCTCCCTATAACAACTCGCCTTGGTTGTCTCTCTGTCCAGTGAAACTGCCTCAGTTCTCCTGCTTTTAGAACTTTGTGCACCGAGAGATGAGACAGGATGCAACTAATTTTGTTGTTCATCTCTGACCCAGAATAGAATTCAGCTCACTTCAGTACCTGTGTTAGCTCTGCAGTGCTGGAAGACAAAAGTACCATAAAAGCGTAATCAATAAAGTAAACAAAATGCACTCACAGCATCTGTTGATTAAGTGGCCATTGCCATTTCTCTGACTACAAGTGGACCTTAACAGACCAACTTTTAAACTTACTGCCATACCTTTTTCCTCCACTGAGTTATGCCAGGAACATTCAGCAATGATGGCTATGTTCAGTGTGGGTGGATGGTCCATTTACTTGACAGGTCTCTACCCAGCACTGAAATCCTAAATTTTTAACAACTAGATAGATCTCCCAAACAGATGAATTTTGGAACCTCATCTTAACTTTACTCCCCACTCCCTTTAAAGGGACACTTGTTAAAAATTGTCAAAAGCAAAAAGAATGATTCACAGGAGATAATAAAGCAATATTGAAACTAAAACTGTTACTATTTAGCTAGTTGAACTACAGCACTCAAGTCAGTCTTGGCAGCCTTTGCATACTGTAGTCATTACACATTCAGTATTATACTTCATTTCAGAATCTTAAGGCAACATTATGGAACTTTAGTTTTTGCTTTCAAATTCAATGTTACATTACAACGTAAGATTACTAAAGTTGTGCAAGTGGTTCCGTTTAGAGGTAATCGAGTTCTGCACATAAACAATGAAGAATTTACAGTAAGTCATTTTTTTAATTTGACACGGTTTCAAAGTAATTTGAAGATTAACGAACATATACTATTATGCATATAGAAGAATCTTCTTTAATGAAGGCACTTTTACAAAATCTGACATGCACAATCTACCTCTTGAGCTTTCGCCATTCCTAGAAATGTGATTTTTTTTTAACGTATTAACAACAAACCTGTAACAAGCACTTCTGTACGAACACGAGACATTCAAATATACTTTTAAGGGGGATTCCAGCTTAAGATTTTTGTTTTTTTAAAAATTCACTGTTCATTTTATCCCAGAAAAGCAGTATTAAAAGGAACTACTTTATTCACCATGTAAAACGTCATGCATACACATTCCATTGGAGTGACAGAAAACAAGAGCTTTACTCAACTTCCATAACAGCCTTGAATTGAAAGCGTTACTCAGCAATGAATGTCTTCTGCTGAGATATATTGTGTCAGTTTAATGCTATGCCAAGCTTGAAAAGAATCTGCTACACATATGACAAGTGACTAGGTAGCAAATAACTTTGCTCCCTCTTTCTACTAGTTTCTTATAAGATTACCTTGAGAAAGTGTCACAGCCTCACATTTGGTACTGAAGTTAATTTCAAGTTTCACTCTTCCTGAACTGTATTTTGGATACTGAATAGAGAGCCTAATTCTGACATGAGAGAATGAAAAGTTGCCTATGGAACATTGAAGATTTATATTTGATGATAAGCTTAAAAAGAACAACTAATTTTTGTAATGTAACTTATTTGCAAAATTCTTTGCACCTTTTCTTTTCCCACTAGGACTGCACTGATTTCCTGACACACCTATTTATAATAGAGACTAAGTAGTGACATCTGATTTACTCACCAAACTTAAATTTATAATGTCTTATGCCTATTTATTATTTGTGTACCAGCATCAGTAGTATCATAGCTCTAGAAATAGCTTTGTCTTTGCCACCCAGCAGAAGGAGGCAAGACATAAATGCAGTAAGTCCTACAAAAATAATGGCTAGTTTGTTCAAATTAAAAAATTCACAATAGAAATTTCTTCTCACCATAAAATTCTAAAAGATGTAATAAGTAATGTGTATTTGACTCTAGAGGTTTTGACTGTCCCTTTAGCACTGAAAAGCTGGAAATGTAGTTTTTAAACAAGTGAACCTGTTCACTTTACAAAAATGCAAATATTGCAAATAGGGAAAATATACTTCCTGGAAGGAGAGTCAACATGACAAAACAGAGATACTGTTTGCAAGTATATAATTAGCTCAACTGAGCAGGAATATCATACAGCAGATTTTGGGTAGCATTATCTTTGTCACAAAAATTGCTCACCAGTCAAAATGGCAGCAGGGCTTAAATAACCTTAAATTTCTTCCTTATAACATTGCAAATGCAGTGAAGAAAAGTGACTATTCAACATTAAATATAAAACCATTTAAAAAACACATCAGAATTTTATTGCTTGAAGAATACAGCATATGAAAAAAGCACAGGAACGTCCAAAGAAAAGGTCACAAGGAACCAAACATACTATCCCATACATACCAGATGCAGTAAAATGTTAACCTGAATTCTGCATCAGAAAAAACAAGTGTGAAATACCTAATTTTGTTTACTTAAAAGAAAAAGACTCATTTAAAATAGAAAGTGTAAGGTGTTACAGTACAAATTAGAAAAGCCAACACTGCACATTAACATTGTTTCACTAGACTAGATTTACTACCTTTGGTACTTAAGTCTTTACAGAAAACTACTTAGTCAAATCTTGTCCAACATATTTCATGAAAGTTTTTCAACTTAACATTCAACATACTAATCTTTACTTTTTGAGCCATCACTGCACGGATGCATTTAGAAAATGTGCAAGTTATTCAATATGTAACCTAACGACTCTAAAATTGAAATCAAAAGCCACTGGGCGATCCTTGCAGATCTGAATATATGCCAACTGTACTTGTTCAGATCTCTACTTAAAATGGGCACACTGTTTTCTGTTTATTTCGCTATGTAAACAGATTGCTGCACCCACAGCTTTTAGTCAAAAATTTTTACTAGAGAAACTTGTCAAGAGCATACTAAAAGAAAAGAGAGTGCATTCTTACACAGCTATCTGATCTGATCGTTTTCACTAGTATGCAAGTGGCTTTTCCATTCTGCTGGAAACAAGAGTACCAGAACATAGGCCAACATTTCTTCATTCAACATTAAAATTCTATAATGGACACAACTGTGGTGTATTTCTACACAAAGAACAGCTGCCCGTCCATTTATATAAACAGAATTTTCAAAGTCAACCTGACAAAAAGACTCCTTTCTCTTTCCTGATCCTTATCGTGCTGATTACTCTTGGGGCATACTTTCCTAACTAAACTTGGACAGAATCATTTGCACCTACTAACCTGTTTGAATGAAGAAAATGTTATTGTTTCACAAGGTAGCTGAGGAATCCATGGGTAACCTAGTCTGGAAAATGTTAACATTATGCTGACAACAATAACTAACTAATCAGGGTTAAATAAAAATCCCTCTTTTACTGAAACCAGGTTCATTAGCTTCAACTTTTGCCTTTGTAGGCTTGAACATTTAATAATTCCCAGTTAAGTCAATGGAACTAACACAATTCTGGTTCACCAAGTTCCAGCTTTACATGTGAACAATATGAACATGTCCGGACTACGCAAGTAATACCATCAATAACAGTTAACATTAAATTGGAGTGAAATAATAAGAATTATTAGTTCTCTACACTGGTCAGTCTTTGAAATGAAATATCCATTGGTTCAGGACTCTTCATAGATATCATAATAAAATCACGGGTTTATTATTTCACCCCTATACAAAAAAAAAGACAGAATTTCTACAACTCCTATTAAACATACCTTTTCCTAGCTTAGTGAAAATGTATCTTTTCAAATTTGTAACAAATGTGGTATTTGAGCACATATAATATTTATTGCCATATATATATATCCTCATTTTTAAAAGGACAAAGAATTCAGACTTTACTATGCTGACCTCTTTGCTTGTTTCCATTATGCAGATTAAGTGTCTACTGAACCACTCCCACCCCCCCAAAAAAGAAAAACAATTAAAAATTCTCTATGTAAGATTTTATAGTTTAGTTAAAAGGGAAGAGAAATGCAAATGTGGATTTAGAGCTTCTGTATAAATCTCACTATTTTATAAACTTGTTGTTTATTTTAACACTGTTTATTGATCAATGACGCACTGCTATCTAAAATTTCCATATACACCATTAAAAATCCAAAGTTGATATGATATTGAACCTTAAATCTTTAAGAGTTCAAAAAAAGACAGTTTTTACATGTACAGCACACAACAGCAGACATCCCTAGAATACCATGGCCAGTCCAAGATGCATACAAAATTACAGGTAAGCATTCATTTCACTGTTTTCATTGTGCAGGAAAGATATTTCTCAGTGGGAAGAGAAACTCAGCTGGTGAATTTCAGATATCATCTTCATCATCTTCATCCTGAGAGGATCCTGCCTGATTGGATGCACTGGCTGACGCAGCAGCAAGCTGTGCTTGTTGGGCTGCTTGTTGCATCTGTAGCCATTCCTGCTGGGCCAGTTCTGCTTGTTGCTGTCTAGCCTGAAGACAGACAAAAATTAAATTGTTAACAAAACCCAAGACTTCCAATAGCCTTTTAAGGAATTAGTATAGCACACGGGCAAAGATTACATTAATGGTCTGGCAGAAACTGCAGGTGCAAAGTACAAGATTTAGACCTAAAAATAATCACTGTACATAAAGGGTATTCAAAATACTGCAATGCTTTGCATTGATATTAACATTTTTTCTTCATGTTGGCATAACCTATTTTTATGGTATGCTGTACAATCGTCATTTGGACCATTTATACTCAGAAAACCAAAGAGGTTGGGGTAATAAAAATGTACTTGAAAAAAACCCTCAATTTTGGGGGTTGCACAGGATCAGAGAGGCACCACTTTCAAATGAAAAATTAACCAGGAATGTTGCAGAGTGGCTAGAATTAGCATTAACAAGTCTTTCCACCACTTACCCACACTGCCTAGGAAATACTGACCAGGAAGTCCAGGCCTTACTTTAGGCAAGACATTATTAAAATGGTAGTTCTAACTAAGACATTTTAGACCTTAAATGCAGTGCACATGGATTAGGATGGTGCTAATACTTCACATGTTTAGAAACGAATTCACTCTGAATATATGTTTGTTACGTGTGTCCTAAACAAAGCATGAAATTAAATTAAAAGGAAAAATGGAGGGTGAGGAAAGTGAAACATGCACAATATGTTATAGTTTGGAAGTGTCAGAACTAGTGAAGTAATGTAACAATATTCTTATTTAATAAGGGCCTAACCTTTGCAGCTGAACCTAAATTCAGCCCTATCATCCTCCACCTCCCAACACCATTTTTGCTTCTTTCTGAAATAAGAGTATCAAAGATTTCCCCATCTCCAAAAGATTGCTTGGTTTTGTTACATAAATATCAGGAATGTTAAGTCTAGTTTTGCTAGATGAATTTTCAAGATTCTCAGAAGTTTATTGTGAGTTAATTTTCCTCAATTCAAGGAGAGGGGATGTTTGACATTTGATAGGAAGTCTTTGTTAAATGATTGTTAGGTACTGAAGTTGAGAGTATAAAAAGTGCAAACAGAGTTTTATTAGAAGTCCCTTCTCCTCTCAACTGTCAGCTTTCACTTGCTTGTGATGTCATATTTTTTCTAGTACTTTAGTCACTATAGTCGCCTCCAAAAATAATTGGTCAACTGACCAGTCAAACATTGGCCAAATATTTTAAAGCACTAATTTATTAGAACAGTAATAACAGTAAGAAAAAATAGTAAGCCTTTATGGTCTCCAATCAGCTTAACCTTAGATAGACACTTATGCCTAATTACAACAACAACAAAAGTTCTTAACTGAGATATTTTAATTCAGAAAAATGCGGAACACAAATAAATGAAATTCTAAAAAATGAAAGAATGGCACAATGGTGCAATCAAAAAAGTAGGCCACTGCCTAAATCAGGGTATGCTTGCAGGAATATTTGAGACGATTTAACAGTTGTCATACAGGTGATTACTTGAACAGCTTGCCAAGTCCACTTAAAACCTGAATTTGCACTGTATAAAAAAAACAAAACAAAACAAAACAAAAAAACCACACAACCAGCAGAAAAAAATCTTTTGAAACAAAAATCAGGTCTTCTTTATAGATAAAGCAAAATAAAGCAAAAGCCCATTTTCCCCCTCCATATAGGACACTTTTAAAGTTAAGTTCACATTTCCATTCAAATCCCCTTTTCATTTTGAATTTTCCATAACTGGCCTATCAGGCAGAAATTTTCTGAACCTACTGTCTACCTAAGGATAATATTTTGGAACATTTCAGCAAGGACAATTCAGTCAGTCAATAAGAGTACAAAAAGATACTGGCCCTATTCCAAGAGTTGTGACAATTCTTTGAAAAGCTCTAGCACAAATGTGCTAGATTTAAAAAAAGTTGACATCTGCAAAGGAAATAACCCTCACTGAAAAGAGGCTTTAAATGTTTCAGTTAAAATTATTCATATGCAGTCACTAGGGTTTAAAGAGAATCAATGTATTCACAGTCGATACTCTGGTACACTTTTAGCCATTTTCACCAAAGTTCTAAACAAATGAAAGCAACACCTGAACACATTAGTAGTGGACATGTCTAAGATACACATTCAATGTGGCAGGGCTCCATAAGAGTCAGTGGCTCTACAGCAGTTTCTCTCAACCTTTCTGATACCAGGGACCAGCTTGCTGCCTTCCAAAACTGTGTCAGGGAGATCTCAGGGACCAGAAACACTGCTCCACAGGACTGTGCACCTTTTGCTGGACAGATAATTCTGGAACTATTAGGTGCCACCAAATTATACAACCACTTCTTTACATTCTTTTTCTTTTGAAAATACTAGGAAACTCCATAAGGTTGCACGGCTAAGAACTCAGTCAGGAATTGCCAGAGTTAAGGTGTCCTTAATTTTAAATCTGCCTCCTCATGCCATAATGCAGTATGCCAGTCTTTTAATTGCACAAATCAAGTCACTTCTCAAATATTACAACATAATTTTTTTCCCTACAAACTTCAACCTAACGTTCACAATGAATGAGGATGCCTCTTGATTTGGATTTATTCATTCATTAAGGAAGTTACTTTTACAAATAAAGGAAAACTAGGGCCCTGATCTTACCAACACTTATACACATACATAATTTCTCAGGTGTGTAGATGAATATTTTAAGAATTGTGATTGTCATTTAAGCAGCCAGTATTCCTTCTGCATATAACCACTGGTAAATTCTGGATTATCAATAGGACTAATCACATGCATAAGTATTTGCAGGACTGGAGTGCAAATACAGCACTTGTTCCAACAATACATACACAAACTACTTTGATATATTGTTGAATAAAATAAAATGCACTGTTTTAGAATCAGATCAGAGATTTTTTGTACAATATCAAATGAGGACCATTTTAAGTTTCATTTATTGATCCAATACACAGACTAGTGCAACTTGAATGCACTAACAATTTTATAATGCATTTTTTATTAATCTCTAATAATTAAAAAATTAAATGCATACCTTCAGAGGACAGTGTCTACTAGATTAAACAATTTTAAAGTAGGTCAAAAATCAGGTCTAAATTGATAATACCTCTTTAAATGAAATGTCAGTTAATTATTTTAATTCCTCATTGTTTATATTACTCTCTCAGGAGTGTAAGAATATCCCTATCCCACCCATCCTCTACTTCTTTTGACCTGTGTAGAGTGCAGTTTTATTTAAGTTATCCACATTAAACTTCATTGCATTAAGCTTAAAAGAAAATAAAAACTTAAACTAACCAGTTTGTTATAAAACCAAACACTGCTTCTGCAGCAGCCACATTGGCTTTTTTACTCTTAGCATGAAGGGGGGAAAAAGTATCTATATGTTAACTTATCACAGGACTATACCATTACATGTGTTAGCCGTGTGATGAATTTCCAAAGCTGGTGAAAACTTCAATTGTCTCATCATCATCATCATCATCTATTTAGCTATAATGTACTTGGCACTTTACAACATACAAAAATAAAGTTTATCTGGGTTTTAGCATTACGTGAGTTTCAGTAAGGCCAGTGAGGAGAAGGTTGCAACTAAGATGTGAGATCACAAGGACCTGAATAAGCATTTTCACCATGGGAACAGAAAGAAAGGAAAGGATGCAGAGGACAAAAAAAGCAATATGATTTGCATATGGCCAGGATATAAGTGGTGTAAGAGGGAGGTGTTGTAGATGATTGCCACATTACGAGTCTGGCAGAATAGCGGTGGTATCAATAGTAACAGAATGGGAGAAGAGAAGACTGTTTAGGAAGATAAATAATCAAATTTAGTCTTAGCCACTTACACTTGAATTATCTGCAAACCATCTTAGAGGAAGTGCTGGGAAGAAAGGCTGAGTTGCAGGACCTTGTCTCACATTAGGTCAGGCATGGAGAAATATATTTGAATTATCATCATCTTAGAGTTCATAGTAAATCAACATGATTATACAGTGTCACTCAAGGGTAAAGGGAAAACAGCTGGGGAGACACGTTAGAGATTTAGCATTGTTGTGACAAACAAACTACCAGAGAGATGGAAATTACCCTTTTCCCCCATGAAATGATGGAGCCAAAACCAAGAAAGACATTTAAACTGAAATGATTAAGACACAAGATGAGTTACACCTAGCAAGGGACATAAAAGGCAATAAAAAGAGGTACTACAAATACATAGGGAGAAAGAGACGAAGGAAGATGTAGGTTCTCCCTTAGTGGGGAAGGAGAGCTAATAATGGATGACATCAAGGAGGCTGGGGTGTTCCCTATTTTGCTTCAGTCTTGGCTAAAATATTAAGTTGTGACTAGAAAATTAATATTAACAAGAATGGGGAAGGAACAAGCTAGAACAAGGAAAGAACAGGTTAAAATAGTTAGATAAGTTAAATATTTTTAAGTCGGCAGCGGCCAATGAAACTCACCTGAGGGTATCTAAAAACTAACTGAAAATCTCAACCATTAGCAATTATTTGTGAGAACTCATGGAAGATGGTGAGGTCCCAGAGGACTGGAGAAGAAACAACATTGTTCCTAATTTTAAAGATAGGAACTAAAAGGACATGGAGAATTATAGACCAGTCAGCCTAACTTTGAGACCTGGAAGATACTGGAACAAATTATTAAACTATAATTTGCAAGCATGTAAAGGATAAAATTATAAGTAAAACTGAACATGAATTTGTCATGAACAAATCATGACAAATCAACCTAATTTCCTTCTTTTATGGGATTACTGGCCTAATGAATGGGTGGAAGCCGTAGATGTGACATATCTTGATTTTAGTAAGGCTTTTGACACAGTCCACCTGACATTCTTATAAGCAAACTAGCAAAATGTGGTCTAAATGCAATTATTATAAGGTGTGTGAACAACTGGTTGAAAGACCCTACTCAAAGAGTAATTGTCAACGATTTGCTATCAGACTGGGGGGACTCACAGGGGTTTGTCTCAGGTCTTGTACTATTCAACATTTTCATCAATGACTTGGATAATGGACTGGAGAGTATGCTTATAAAATGTGCAGAGCACACTAAACTGGTAGGGGTTGCTAGCACTTTGGAGGACAGGATTAGAATACAAAACAATCTTGATAAATTGAAGAATTGGTCTGAAATCAACAAGATAAAATTCAATAAAGATAAGTGGAAAGTACTACACCTAGGAAGGAAAAAAGCAAACACACAATTACAAAATGGGAAATAATTGGCTAGGTGGTAGCACTGTTGAAAAGGATCTGGGGGTTATAATGGATCACAAATTAAACATGAATCAACAACATGATGCAGTTGCAAAAAAAAAGATATATTAACAGAGTGTCATATACAAAAGACAGAAGGTAACTGTCCTGTTCTACTTAGCACTAGGGAGGCCTCAGCTGGAGTATTCTGTCCAGTTCTGGGTGCAATGCTTTAGGAAAGAAATGGATAAACTGGAGAGAGTCCAGAGTAGAGCAACAAAAGTGATAGCAGGTTTAAGACCTATGAGGAAAGGTAAAAAAAATTGGGCATGTTTAGTCTTGAGAAAAGACAACTCAGAGGGGACCTAATAGCCTTAACATATTTGAAGACTGTTGTTATAAAAATTGGTCTAAAGGTTGGACAAGAAGTAACGGACTAATCTGCAGCAAAGGATATTTAGGTTAGATATTAAGAAAAACTTTCTAATTATAAGGGTAGTTAAGTTCTGGAATACGTTTCTAAGAGAGGTTGTGGAATCCCTGTCTTTGGTGGTTTCTAAGGACATGTGTCTGAGATGGCCTATGTACACATGACCCTGCCGCATCGCAGGAGGATGGATTAGATGACCTCTCAAAGTCTCTTCCAGCACTACATTTCTATGATTATAGTTCACAGAAATTGATCATTTTCTAAAATATTAGTTGCCATTTCCCTTCATATATACAATTGGACTAAAGAAAATCTGGTAATACAAGTAAAGGAATTCAAAAAGTAGTTGAAAATAATTTTTTAAAACTCCAACATTTGTAAAAGTTTCTGTAAAATAGAAATACATGATTGAGTGGCATGGCTTTGATATCACCAGTGGTAAAGTAATACATTCATTTAAAACTCAGACTAATAAAACGTACACATTTCTATACAATGTCTCTGGCGTGTCAGATCACAGAAGTAACAAAGAAAATTCAGCATCTTATTTATCCATTTGCATTTCTTGCCAGATATATTAACTTTGCAAGGTCAGATTCAGTAAAATCTTTCATGGCCATGGAATCCATAGAACAGGGGATTCTTCTGGACTTATGCATGTTTCTGTGGCACTAAATCAGGGAGTGTCTAGTTCATTCAACCTCACATTAGATTTCTTAGTCAGAAATATTGCCTCACTCACTTTTGCAAATAACTCCTGTTGCTGCCTTAGAAGTTCTTCTTCAGGAATGCCAAGATTTTCCAAACGAGAACTGGCCTTTCTTCTTTTTAGTGCTACTGTTTTGCACTCTTGTAAGACTTCTTTTACCTCACTGATATAGGAGCCAAAACCCAAGCTTTCTAGTGCTGCAAAAAAGAAAACATGTTGATCAATTAGCATAACTAAAATTTGTAGTCACATCAAAACAATTTCCTGTAATAAGATACCAACTTGTTCTGTCCTATAGATTCCTTATTTAAAGCGACCCACAACCGTTTTTTTTTAATTTGCATCTTTTTACTCTTCTGTAGTGCATAAAGGCCTAAGCGAGAGATTTTTAAACTGAGGGGCACAGAGGAACATTTGGGGGGCGAGCGGTGTCCCCAGGTGGCTGGGACTTGAGAAGGGAGCACTACCTCCAGCCCCCTGACTCACATCAACAAGCCATCCAGCCTGTGGGTCAGTGTCAACATCCACTGATGCTGTGCTGATTTCTGCTCCTGGCAGCCTCTGTGCCCAGTGCTGGCTCCGCCCCCAGAGACTGTCACACATGCCTTCCCACACCCTGAAAACCTAAGGGGCAGGTATAGGGTGAGCAGATGTCCCGATTTTATAGGGACAGTCCTGATTTTTGGGTCTTTTTTTTAATATAGGCTCCTATTACTCCCCAACCCCGTCCCGATTTTTCACACTTGCTGTCTGGTCACCCTAGGCAGGTATTGTGTCTATATTTCTCTGGGTTGGGGCAGCACAAACAAAAATTATAACTCGGGATAGGGGGAAAGAAGGGGAAGGGGCTCAGCTTCAAAAGTTTGAAAACCACTGGCCTAAGTCATATTCCCCTACTCCCTTCCTGCAGCAAAAGTGCACTGTCTTAAATCTTCAAAACTTGAGACTATCAAGTGTGGTCTTCTCTGGTTTTGCTGGTACTTTTAAATTTCTTAGCTATATTTGGTGAGGGAACTAGTCAGAGAAAAACAGCAAGACAAGGAGACAGTTTAATTTCTTAGTTATAAATTTAAAATAATTTCATATAAACCAGACAAATGAATGGAACCAGTGCCATATTTCCCATTTTGCTTAAGAACAGATATATGGTAACATGTACCATACACACCACATCTGCCCAAAGTCCCATCCTTCTCCCATTTAAGCATAATGGACCAACCAGAAAAGTACATTTTCTTAATAGGCTGAAGTTAGCACCGATATGCAACAACTTGGCCATTTCAGGAAAGAAAGGATTGCTAATTTCAGACCCCACCCCCAATGTAAATAATAGTTGCATACCTAGTTGCAATTCAGTAACTGTCCTCCAACCCTCCCTAAAACGCTAAGACACTATTCCATCTTGTAGCATAGCTGGGACCTAATCATGGTTTTAATAGTCTCCACAAAATATACAACAGGTTGGATAGACAGCATCAGGGAACAACTATTGTAACCAGGTTCCTAAAAGTTGTTTTACTGTAGATAGGATCCAACTCTTGTCCACATTGAGCTTTGAACCATGCTTTAAAGTAGTTTGAACTACTGGAAAAAGGGGTTCTGGATACACTGGTTTCAAACATTATTCAGCTAGCCACTGAAAATAGGATGAAAGCTACAGAAATATTTTGAAGAACTTGCCTCTGTACTACAGAGAGCATCTGTCTTTAGATTGCTAAATTGGTCTGCAGCCATGGGCTCCTTAAGGACTCTTCAATGCTATTAGATGCCCAAACAGCAGCAGTAACAACCATCTATTACTAGCCAGAAAATTAAACCCCATTTTAGCAGACAGTGATTGATTCATTAGGGACCTCTATGCTTGATTATTGCACCACATATCTAGGAATGAAGTCAAACCCAGAAAAAGCTCCCTGAGGTATAAAACACATCTGCTTTACAGAGACCCTCCCCGTTATCACCTCCACCCTAGCATTCTGCTCTCAGACTCTATTCTGGATCCTAGTCTGTTTTAGACTAATCCCATTGAGGGTTTTGAGTACCAAGACACCTGAGAGATTGCCTCTCAGCTCCATGAGCATCTACAACAGCAACATTCCAGTGAACAAAGAAACAGATGACAAATGAACAGTGGGCTTGGAAGTGAGAGAGATAGACCAGCTGTTGGGAAAGATCTTATATTTGATGAGAAGAATGACTATGGACCTCTCCACTTTCAAAAGTCAGTGTAAAACTAATTTCTTCAATTTACTGGGAGAAAGCTTAGTGCTTCACACACACAAAAGGTCTCCGATTAATTAAACTAGGAAGATAGATTATCTGTTTTTAATATACTTTGGAAGCATTACAAAACTACTGTAATGGTGGCCACATAAGTACCTGGATAAATAGCCCCCGACTTGAATTTTATTTTTAAAAAAATAAGAGGAAAAGGTATGGTCCTTTCTTTACCAGACAAAAAGTGTTTGAAAACTAATTTTAAGCAACAGTTAAAGAAATGTACTTGTTTGTCTTATTAAGTTATTAGTAAAATCTTTGATTATTAAAAAATGAAAATTGTAAAAACAGAATTTACTTGTGACATGCTCTAGTTATTTTGTACATTTTGCAAATCTTAGACAATGAAAATCCATAAAGTCAGTCTTCCTTTTGTTTATTGTCAGTTTCACTTTTAAACTGGCAAATTTAGTTGACTGCATCTTTTATCTAAATTTAATTTTTTAATAAAGTTTATATTCTGTTTTCAAAATTGGTTTTAAAGCCTATTGTAGAAAAGGCCAACTGACATACCAGTATTACTTTATCACTGACAAATATTTTCTGATGAAGTTAATGGCACAGCCTTCAACAGCTTTGTTATTACTATTTGTACATGTAGATATCAGCGCTCTGACCTATTTGGTTTACTTTAAATGCTACAGGTTTAATATCTACCAGATGTCTTAGTTTCAAAGCCAAGCAAACAGGTTTGACATTCTATTTCTAGCAAATAATAAAGTTTCCATAAATCACTAGATTTTAAAATTTGAATGCACTAATTTTAGTTTATTACTTATTCTTAATATTTGTATTGCACTAGCACCTACAGTCTCAACTGAAGTACAAACAGAGAGAGACAGTCAGGATACATCTACACAGCATTTTGGAGACAGCCTCTGAGCCCAGGTTGACAGAACTGGGTAAGTGGGGCTCACACTAATGCTCTAAAAACAGCTGCATATACAGCACTTTGAAGTTGCAGCTCAGGCTGGAGCTCAGGTTCTGAATCCCATTACCTAAGTTTTGAATTTGCCAAAGAAACCTTGGCTCCCATTATGAAAAACTATGCAACCAAGACAGAACAGGTAACATGCATGAGTTTTTGATTTTGTGATGCCAGTTTTGGTCTGAATATGCAATGTATGACTTCATGCTTCTCTTGGTGGTATGTGCCAGATCTGGTTAATATACCGAGACCTGGAGGAAGCTTTAGGCCCAGTTTTGTCATAACTCACTAATACAATTACGGTCAGTCACCATGAATACCTCACCATAGGGACAAGTATCAGAGGGGTAGCTGTGTTAGTCTGGATCCGTAAAAAGCAACAGAGAGTCCTGTGGCATCTTTAAGACTAACAGATTATTGGAGCATAAGCTTTCGTGGGTGAATACCCACTTCATCAGACGCATGCATATTGCACCCACGAAAGCTTATGCTCCAATACATCTGTTAGTCTTAAAGATGTCACAGGACTCTCTGTTGCTTTACACCATAGGGAGAATGCCTGCTATTCTTAAAAAAGTGTAAAGGTCAATATCTTCAAAAAGCCATGTCTGTAGGCTAGAGTTTTTGTCAATTAGAGCCCATTCTCAAACTTTGTTTTCTTTTAAGGGAATATGATTCAGAAGGCTGTGGTTTTGATGTTTCAAGTGCACTTGAACACCGGTGGTAGCCTATGTAGACTGCAGTCTGACTTAAGAATTATCTACTGGTTTTAGAGTGGTGTCTGATGGCCATTTTTGGTCATGTTGGACATCTCAGCAACATTTAAGTGACCAAAGCTTGTTGTTTCAGTGACTAAGATTACTGGTGTGTCCAGATTTGCCCTCCTGTCATATACAGAAAATAGCAGTCAATTTGCAGTGATTGATAGACAATTTAGATCACATCCCCTTCAGAGATTTGTCAGGTGACTCATTTTATTGAATTATACAAAAAAGCCTCGTAAAGAGCTCATTACTGATACTCTACCTGTTCAGAAAACTGATAACTAACTCTCGTCCCCTGTGGCCTTTAAGTTTGGCCTCTGCTCCACAGATACAATTGAATTGCTCTGCCAACTAGAGGGGTAAGAGATGTCTCAGAATCAACCCTGGAATCTTGCTGTTGATTAGAGATAGTCTATGGAAAAGGTTCACTCTTAGTCTTTTCTGTGTCTGCACGTTGAAAGAACTCTTTCAGAAGAGTGAGTTTGAGAGTCTCAGCATCAATTTTGACCAGTTTGGATCTGAGGCAATTTAGTTGTGGAGCCGTATTCTTTATGGTGGTTTTTATTTTACAGTTGTATTATGTAATGGGTAGGATATGTGATAATACAAGGTACCTTGTGCATAGTGCCTGTTTGAAAGTTTGTATTTTATTTTAAAAATATTAAATATTTTGTATTTTAATCAATGTCTTAAGTATTTTATTAAATCTAAAGAAATATAATAAAGAATACATCATCATGTGTGGGCTTGCATTTTACATACTACTTATGCAATGCATTATTTAGAATAAGAAATACAACAATGAAATCTTCCAAATAAGTGTTTTTTCTAGGCTAGGTAGAGACTTGAATACTTTTAAATGTATCCTGTTATTCAACAAAACAACTATATTTTACCACAGCATACTGAAATTAAGAGAGATTATACTGTCAATATTGAGTACAATAGCATGTAAAGCAAATAGCATATCTGCCATTGACTTCAGTGGGGCTCTGAGCAACAACAGGGATCAGCCGACATAGATCCAGTTGCACAGGGGTTCTCAAACTTCATTGCATCATGACGCCCTTCTCACAACAAAAATTACTACATGACTCCAGGGGCCGGGGGACTAAAGCCTGAGCCCAACCGCCCCGGGCCGGGGGGCAAAGCCCAAGGGCTTCAGCTTCAAGCAGAGGGCCTGTAACCAGCCCTGGGCAGTGGGGTCAGAAGCCCTGCGTGGTGGGGCTCAGGCTTCAGTCCCAGGCGTCAGCAAGTCTCAGCCAGCCCTGGTGACCCCATTAAAATGGGGTCAAGACCCAATTTGGGGTCCCGACCCACAGTTTGAGAACCGCTGCAGTTGCAGGATCTTGCTTTAAAAACTAAATCAGAACTTCCATTAATTGAAAGAAACAGATTAAAATTGCTTTGGGCAAGGAATCATACCAAAAGCTAGTAGTGTTCCATTAAACTTCAGAAAGGAGACTTCAAAAAGAGGAGGAAATTAATTAATAAAGACATTAAAATCGAAAGTAAATACATTAGAATCCTTAGACTCAATGGAAGCCACTTAAAAATACCATAACAAAGTCATGGGCATCTAAACAGAAAGGACCTAAACAAAAAAATAGTTCAATTACAAGATGGCAATGCACAAGATGTTACTTGAACCAAATTGGTATATTTCAGAAAATGCAAATCTAACCCCAGTAAAGCCAACAGAAAGAAAGCATGAACTATGGCAGGGAAAATTAGTAGAGTATAAGGGATTCTGAAGAGCAAATGGTCAAAGTCATAAAAAAAGCTACAAGGAATTCTTTAAATATATATGAACCAGAAAGGTTACAGAAGAAATGGTGATCTTCTAAAATACCATATAGCAATTCAAATTTAAAAAAAGCAGAGAAGCTAAATTATTTATTTTTTCCAATTTTTTCCCACAAAGGATGTTGGTGATACCTACCCTAGACGTACTCTTTTCAACTGACATACTGATGTGTCAAAAAAAGGTAGTGCAGAAACAAGAGCCATATAGTATGGACCATGATCTCTGAAAGAATGTAAGAATGAATGGGCTGAGCTGCCAATAAAAAGATGTAATCTCTCATTGAGATTATCTACTATACTGGTGCTCTGGAAAGTAGCAAATTTTAAACAAGTAGGGGCGATCCTGGGAATACCCAACCAGTAAGGCTCATTTAAGTTCCAAGTAAATTGATTTAAGTGACAATTATAAAAATCTAGATGAATATGACAGAAAGAGCAAACTGCAGCTTACTTACTAAAAAATTGAGCATATCAAAGAAATATTTCCTTTAGTATATTGATAAAATAGTGGGCAAAGGAGAACTTACTGAAATGTATTTGAACTTTCAGGAAGCGTTTGACAAAGTCATTGTAGACAACTTAAAGATAGTAGTCAAAAAAAGCAAAATAAGTTTTAGAATACAGAATGGGATAGAAATATTTAAAATTATATGCACCACATAAATCAAATAATTTTCTTTAAAATAGTGATATTAACCCTCATGCTTCAAGAAATCACCTGATATGGTACTAATTCCTTCCTAACCTATGTATTTCTGAAGGATAATAAGGATAGCAATGAAGGTAGACGCAGAATATAAAATTTTATGACAGTAACATCCTCCTTACCACATTTGACCATATAAATGGATAAACATCAACATTCATTTAACAAAATGTGATTAACACTGACAACCTGGAATTCAAGAAGAGCTTTATATCAAAAATTAGAACTTTGAACATACTAGCAATTATAACTTGACAAAATATTTGTTAGTAGCCAACACATGACAGATACAGTTTGTCTGTGGTAATCATTTCACTTTTTAAAGTCTGAGTTTGAGAGGATTTTTAAGAATCAATTTTACTGCAAGGCACCATTTTCTTAAAATGTTAACTATAACAAAAGTTTACATATGGTTCATATTTTCTTATACTGCTCTTTATTATAAGTCATCATAACCAGAGCTTGAAAAATCCACTTATATATAGCAAATAGGAAACTTTTTCTGGTGAGTGGAGTTAGCATACCTCATCAAAGTCTGCAGAATCTAATTAATTGAGCATTTAGTACTTATAGTTTCAAAAACAACTTTCCATGTGAACTGATACAGACTAATGCTGGATTGTTTTCCTGAGCCTCAAGTTCTACTGCTTATGCTGCTATTCACTGACTTGCCAAGCAGCTGAGTAAAACTAAAACTCTGATCACTTTCACTACTACCTTAATTCACAACTTTGTGGGCAGCAATGAAACTGTCAAGAATTGTGGCAGCTTTCTCAAGTATCTGAGAAAAATGAACATGATTCTTGATAGGAGCAGCCCATGTGGCTTTCAGAAGCAGCTGTGGAAGTAACCCAAGTCATTAGTTTCATTCTGTTACTGCTTGAGAAAACTATGAGCAGCAGTGTCAGGCACTGGTTCTATTCACAGTGAAGGAACTCACAAAAAAGAAGGCTGGAGAGACCTAGAATAGCAGATACTCACCAAAATCAGGAGGCTCCGAGATTCGAGAGAGAACAAAAAAAGAACCAGAAAACTTTTCCATCAAGCAGCCACAGAAGGTGGGAGCCAACAGCCAGAATAGGGTGCAATGGCATATTTTTAAATGTACACACCTATTACACCATAACTGATACAAAAGATGAAGCCACAAAGCAAGTCCAGGAACAGTTTGGTAGGAATCCCAGTACCTTTCTTCTTACATCAGCTAGGGGATTGATTTATCATCAGGGGTAAGAGCCTGGAACTCTCTTGTAAAGCCCACCTTCCATCCCCATCTTATATAGCGTATCAGCCTCTCATTTGCAAGTGCTTAGTATTTTATTTTATTTCTGTAAGAAACAGGGAAGTAATCTGCACAACCACCCTGAGAGATAGTCCTCATTTCACAGGTATGGAAACTGAAGCACAGAAATATAAGTGACTCACCCAAAGTCACACAGGAAGAGAACAAGGGCAGGAACTGAAAACTCCTGCCCCCTTCACCACAAAAGTAGCCTCCCTCTTGCAATGCAAGGCAACAAATAATCTTACTCATGTTCTTAAAAATATTGACTTTTTCTGCCAGTACTTTTAGAGAAATAAATTGTAGGGTCATAGACCTAAAGAAGAGTTCTGTGTTGTTGGAAAGCTTGCCTCTCTCACCAACAGCAGTTAGCCAACTAAAAAAATATTACCTCACCCACCCTCTCTCTCTATTATCCCGAGACCGACATGGCTACAACAACACCGCATTAAATGAAATGGTCTGTCATCTACCAGACGACTGCCCCCGAGGCACTCACCTTGTATGACATGCTCTGGGGAGATGGTTTTCTTCTCAGACTTGTTACAGATCTCATTGGCCTCCGAGGAGATGAGGTGGATGAATTCAGTGCAGCAGTTCACGACCAGCTCCCGGGCATCATTAGCCACCCGGACATTGGGGAGAGTTTCTTTGATCATCTTGTTAATAGCAGCTCTAGGGATGGTGAGGTCGTCGTCGTTTCCAGACGACGAAGCCATTATATTTCACACTCACTCTCCGAGACTCTTTGAACTCAGATCTTCAGATCCAGAGCAAGACCCACAGGGCACCAGAGACCCGCTGCTCAGGGAGACCCGGGGCGGTGTTGCCGGGGCAGGTACCAAGCAGGGGATGAGAGCAGGTGCTGTGAGTCTGCGGGCTGGAGGACGCTGGGTGCGGGGCGGGTGCTGAGGGGACCGCGCGCTGGGAGAGAAAGGGAGGGATCAGATTCACGCCCGAAGGCGGGAGAGCGCTAGCGGGGGCCGGCGCGGGGCCCGCTGCCAGCTCCCCAGAGCCGGTGCCAGGAGCTTGGGAGCAGCCGTGGGAGGCGCTGCCCGGAGTTCAGGGCTCCCTCGGCTACAGCCTCCGCCACATCCTTCACGCGCCGCCGCCGGGTAGTCGTGCCATACTGGCCGCCGCCTTGTGAACGAGAGCCGCAGGAAGCCGTCCGAAAAGCCCGCGCACGGCTCGGCTCCGGCTCTGCACTCACCCAGCGGCGGCCGTTCCCTCAGAACCGAGAGCGGCCGGGAGGGGGAAACGAGCCAGCGAGGAGCACAACCAGCGACCAGCGCCACTTCCGCCGGAAGCCGTCCTCTGACACTTCCGCTTCCGGGACCCCATTCCCCGGAAAGCGCTCTGGCACAAGCCCCGCGCCCACCCTGGGGCACGCACACCCCGCGCTCCCCCCGCCCAGCCGGGCTTCGGAATCTGAAGTGGGGCAGCACTGGGCGGACGGCGCCGGAGCAAAGGGGCAAGGCTGGGTCCGCGTGCTCACTAGCCTCGTGGCGCTGCTGTGTACGCAGCCCAGGCAGCGGTGCCTGCCCAGGGCGGGGGGGCGCACACGTGCAGCCGGCGCGATGCGCCCTGTGTTACCTCTGGGGCCTTTCTTCTCTAGCAGAAAAGGTGGGTTTTAATGTGGTGGACAAGACGTGGTGAAGGCCCCTGTGGACCAGGCGGGGGTAGTTTAACACACATGAGCAGGAACTACCACTGCCTTGTCTGCATGCGGATTGTACTGTTTGTTACCACTTCCATGTGCGCTGACATGTGCTAAAACCCATCTTTTTTCCCAGTGTGGGCACACCTTTACTCGTTAACAGTGTCCGTAGCTCGGGCTACAGCAGGCCCTACTTCACTGTCTGCAGTACATCTCCAAAAGGTGACAAGACGTGATTATTTGTTTTCCTTGCATTCAGTGTTGTGACCTGACTAGGAGACTGGTGTGCATGGTCAATACCTTCAGAATAGTTTGCTTCTCCCGGTACTTCATAGGCATCAGCAAGAGCTTGATATTACTATAGTTTTTCAGGACTTACAATGAAAAATGCCTTTCAAAATAAATTCAATCCTCTTAAAAATAAGAATAACCTATTTTGATATCTATGTTAGTAGTTTCAAGATTGTAGTTTGATGCAGCAGGCAGTGTTCTGTGTCTAAGTTTGGGCCATTTGACTAACCCACATTGCTACACAATCTCAATTTAACCTAGTGGTTTGATTGTTGTTCTACTTTTAGTCCCACAGCTCCAACATTTATTTTTATCCCCAATGTGATACCATCAGCAGTTCCGTATTTTAGGTCTACTATTTCAGCAAATAGGAGAGAGTTTCCCACCCTGTAATATCTGATGTATTGCTTAGAAATAGTTAATCAGGAATGACTAATCTGGAATGACTTCCCAGGTAACAAGCCTTTAACTGCAGACCTGTTGGTGGATTCATCAGCAGGTACTACAGTAAACCTAGATTTCAATATGCATTTCTGAGACATTTTGCAGTTGTCTTTATAAAACTTTTCAGTCACTGTTAATACAGTTTGACCCATCTTTAAGACAATTTTTAGCCATCAAGTTGCACAGTATTCTATGTCAGACAAATGATATGTTGACTTTAGAAAGCTGAATAAGATGGCAACTTCTGGTTCTCTTTGTTGCATTTTATTGAGCAATCAAGTAATAGGAGCATCTAGTGGACAAAGTTACACTTTTTTTTCCTCCCATGTATTTCACAGAAGTAGCAGCATGGTCACATAGAGGTAGGGAATCTATTCCAGACATCTCCCATCCTCCAACAGGGGTTGGGAACCAGGAGTTGGAGGAGGAAAGGAAATTAAGAAAAAACAGAGAGACGCAAAAACATTAAAGGGGGAAAGAAACAAAAGTGAAGATAGGGAAGAAAGAAATGAAGGGCAGAGGTAATAGTGGCCTCCAAGATTAACATATTTGCTCCACTGAATGATGCTGAATGTAATAATTAGGTACAGA